CTCCTGCCATGCTCTGCTGACTGCACCTCCAGGGCTTTTCAAGAACAGCCATATCTTCTGGTAGAAGTGGGATGCAGTGCCCTGAAATACTAGCCTAACTTCTGGAAAGGACTACAACGGAACAAGAAAGGGCATTTATTATACCCTACTTTATTTATTCAACCCTACTTCACACGAGTAATAGCTGACCTGATAAGAAATTAGGGTATAAACATGAAATAGGAAGTTAGGAATAAATCTACAGTAATGCATTTGGCAAAAAAAGACAGAGGAATCCTTTACTTTCCTACTAACATGAAAAATCTGTTGGATGTCATCCTATCCCATTTTACCCTGGAGCTGTACAGGACAAAACAGTTTTGACACCCTTGGCGTCCACTTTGTTAAAGGGTGTGTGTACATATCATACATAGGTCTCCCTGTCACACTTCTGGGAGGGAGGAAAATATCCTCACTGTGCAAGCAGCATGCTCCCCTCTGCATCAGGTATCTCCTAACTTCCCACAGGAGCAATGCAGGTGCTGCCCCAAATCACTGGCTAGTTCTCCTCCGTTCCCTTTGGATTACGTCTTAACATTTATCAGGCCTCAGGAAGGTTTAGAGAAGTGTCGAGGCTCTGTACAACAAATCCTGAATTACATTCTGTATTGTGACTAGGAAGAAATGTAAAATAAACAATATAATTTTATTCTGTGTTTTACATGGCCTACAAATTACAGGAGGAGAAATTACATGAAAAACAATTCATCTTCAAAATTCCAATTATAGGTGTGAGGAGAAAACAATATATTTCTAAGAATTTGAAATGCAGAGCAGCTGACATAGTTTTATTTTAAAATGATAAATATTTTCAGATTGAAGTGCAATTAGTAGTGAAAATGTCATGTAGTTTTACTGTGTATGTTTGCTAATATGGCTGGCATAACTCATTTAGAAGATGCCTGCAGTGCAGAGTCCTATGCTACATATATCATAACCAAAAATACAGTACTTACATGTATATATAAAATGTACACAGAGACAACATTGCCAAACAGCCTTTTGGGACAGCCTAAAAGAATATCATTAATTTTTACAGTATACTTACACTTCTGGCTCAGTTCCAGCACTGGCTTTCTGTAAAAATCATTTCAAGTATGGAATTATGCTGTTTGCTTGCAGCAACATCACAGGAACAGTAGTGAGCCATATGTTGCTACTTAGCAACTTAGTCTATAAGTCCCAAAGCATGTACTGATTTGAAAATTGAACAGAAATGATAATTGTTGAGGGATGCTGTGAGGCGACTTGTCTTGGATTACCAAGCTATGCAGATGTTTGATGTTATATAGCAAAAGGAATAAAACTATATTTTTTCTGTCCAATAGCTGAGCTTATATTTATGTTAGCCTAAAGGCAATAAATTGATTAAAATCCTTAAAATAATAGAAGGTGATGTTTTTCTGGGTATGAACACTTTGCAATAAACAAAAAGAACTGAAGTACAAAGTTCAGCTTTTTCAGAGCAATTGAAACATTTCTTATGTCTAAATTTTATTTTATTCTGCAAGACACTTCATTTTACAGTCCCCGTATTTCTTGAAATGCTGGATTCTAGGAAGTTAGAAGGAGAAGGCAAAGCAAGCAAAGCTCACTTCTCAGGATTAGATCCAAAGAAAGGAGGTGAGCATGTCAACACGCACCAGGACCCCCAAAATCTGGCCTCTATAGTCATATAATCCTGAAGACAGCTTAATGGAAACCCCTTAGTCTCTGGTGTTCTACACCGTGACCAAGTCTGCCATCCTACCTCCCAAATAAGCTGGGTAAGACTCTGGAATTAGAAAATGATGCTCACACCTGACCCAAGTCAACACGATCCAAGCTTGAATAAAAGGTTCTGATTGGGCCATGCTTCTCCTAACATGTGGGATTCCCACTTTCGTTAACAGATGTGCATCCATTGAGGGAACTGGAGAATTTAATTCATTCCTCATTCTGACGAGATTCAAACTCTCATCTCTGACCTCACAGGGGAATAGCTGAGCTGCTGGGGATAGGAGGGAGCTTGCAGTCTTCTCCCTGAATAACGTGACTGGAAGGCTCATGAGCACAGATGGAAAATGGAAGCAGAAAACTCTATGGATTTAGTGACTAGAGTTTTATCTGGAAGAGAATTTTTTTCATCTCTTCTTACAGACTTTTTTTTTTTTTTTTTTATCATCCAGTAACAGTGAGTGGAAAATGAACCAACAGTCCTGAAAACAGGGACCAGAATGTACAGTTACATCCTTTCTTCTTCTTCTCCCTCTCCTGTAATCTATGCAATCTTGCATGCTTTATTTTCACAGCAGTGAATACCTTATTCCTGCAAAATAATCTGGATTTATCAGCAGAATGACTGTTGAAATGTTAGTTCACCAAATCTGGGTGACCACTAAATGTTTTCATCTGAGATAGGAAGTGCACTACATAAGACCTTACTCAGTACAGTCAATGGAGAATTTCTCAGTTCCTTCAGGGAATTACTAGCAGATATACTATGATATACCATAGATATACTATAGATATACTATGTATATTAGGAAGAGGTTCAGGAAGGTTTCTTACACAGTCCAAATATCTTGCCTAGACAAGAGAGGCAGGATTCCCTACATCCACTCCATTTCCTGCTCCTAGATTGGTGCATTTTTTTTTGGTCCCCTTAAAAAAAAAAAAAAAAAAAAAAAAAAAAAAGATAGATAGATAGATAGATAGATAGATATCTTATTTTTTTTTAAGTTACTATTACAGGCTTTCACATATATTTCCTTAAAAAACAAACAAGAACACTGCAACAGTGTAAGACTACTGCAGCATCAAGAGAGAACCACTGTAAGGGAAAGAAAGGAGGGTGCAACAGCTGAAGGCTGATGGCTTCCTTCAAACGGGCATAGGATGCTATTTGACTGGAGTATGCTTGTAACAAATACTATGCCTGGCTGTCATGGAAGCTGTTGCTGTATGGATCCCCAGCAAAGGACAGAGAATTCAGACACCTGCATCTGTGGTTTGAATTCTACCCGGGAGCTGGACACCCAAAAGCTAGGCTTTACCATAGTGGGTTTATAACTATATAAGCCCATTATTAGTTCTAGTCCTTAGTAACTAATCAGAGTTTTCTGTCATCTTTGAATTTGGAAATGTCACAACTGATAGATTTTTTTCCTTGAAGACAAAATAATTTGCACTTAAAATTCTAGCCCTGGATCTTTAGAGGTAGTTTAAGCACCTTACTTCCATTGAAATAAGTGAGTGTTAGATGCATAAATATCTCTAAGGATTTGGGCCTTGTTAGCACATGTAGAAACTGCATAAAAGATTAAAACTTATACTCTTAATTTTTCAATGTGCCATTTAAATTATTTAAACTACAGGCATACACAGTACAAAAATATCAACAGAAGAAAAATAATTCTGATGTATAATGTGGATTTGCAATTCTTTATTCAAAACTATTTAAGACAGACATAATGATTCTCTGAAAGGTAGCAGCTGCTTTATAACAGCAATCATTCACAGAGTTTGTATTTCTACTGTTTCAAACAAATTCAATTAGCCCTTGCACTTCAAAACCCTTAAGGCATAAATGAGATGATACTAGGCTGCTTTAATCTAATAGTAATACTAAAACTTGTCAGTACAGTTTTTGGATTAATGGTTAGAGAAAAATTAATAATATAATTTTTCATTTTTTAATCAAACAGTTCTGTTCTAAACTACCTCTGGATCTTCGAGGGTTCTTAGCTGAATAAGTTCAATCACACACAAATCCTAAATACAAGTATAGTTGGTCTCTAAAGGTATTTCAACAATAACTTCAACAGAAGACTGGGAAGCAACATGGTGGAACATTTTGAAAACAGCCTTTTTGATTGAACAGTGTAGTTCATCTCACACAGCCTCCAGCTTCCCTTGCCCCAAATGTACTGGCGTACTACGCGCTACAATTAGGTAGCCTGTCACAACTATCTGAAGAACCCTACTTTATAAGGACTTTTGGATTTGAACATATTGTCACTTTCCAGAGCTAAAATTGGAATTCCTAAACTCTGAATTTACACATAGCTTATCTACACACATTTACTGTGCAGGCAAACTAATTTCCCAACTAATGAGAGAGCATCATAGAACCCCACCAGTCCTTCCAGAAAGAGGTATATCAGACCAGCCACTGCTGGGCCTGAGACATTGCATGATCTAGCCCACAGGTCCAAATATTCAGGGCAATTTCTATTACACAATGCAACTTATCCACACCACTATCAACATCACTTGCTACTACAGAATTAATTCTTATTTTTAAGAAATAATTTAAATCTTTCCATCTTAGAAAGCTATAGCAATTTAGGGTTCAAGTGGAAGTGTTTCTGAAATGATTTTGAAACATGCATCTAATATCAGAATTAAGTGTGTATGGTTCCCCTAAAGGGAAAGGAATCAAAGATACCCATAAAGAATCCACATCACATTAAACCTTTTGGGCTGCAAGCTACACGAGACTGAATCATTTCCCTAACCCCGTTGCTAATGGTGTAACATTGGCAATGTTCCTCAGCCATACGATTAGCGTTAAAAATGCAATTCTTCAACTACAACTGGCCTAAGAGTGATAATTAAAGCTATTTGTGACATGTGTAGCTTATAATGATTAACTTGTCTGCAGTCAGATAAACAAATAACCTGCACCTGTAAAGACTTTATTTCCTGAAGGTAAAACAACTGTTTAGGAAAGATCATGCTGGCAAAACAGCTGCTTGCATTCTGGAGAGGAAACAAGGTAGTATCTTTCAACAAACGCCAACTCTGGTGTTTTATCAGCTCTATCTCATTAACTGGAAACAAGGCTTAAATGCTTTGTTTATAAATTATGATTATTCCTGATTGCAGCAGTTACTGATAGTGCCACTCATTTGCAATGCAACTCTTTGAATTTGTTTAATTACAATTTGAAACAAGGCAGAGAAGATTAATTAACCCACCTGGCTGGCTGGCACATAGTCCTGGCTTGGCTCTGTCATACTCATATACATGTTCTCACCGTCAAACTGCAAAGGAAATAATAGTAAACATTCAGCAAACTTGAATATTTTTCAGCATTGACTGAAAAAAAAACAGTAGCCATAAACTAATATTACAGCCTGGTTTTAGAGACTTGTAATTGCGTGTGTGCATCTTGTCTTTGATGTTCCTGTTGTCATCCTTATTGACCCTGGATGTCAGTGATTTGGAGTAATTAGCGCTCTAGTAATTACAGCTAGCAAGCAAGAAATGAATGGTTTCCTTTCATCTGCAATCTGTTTTAAAACAAAATGGCTCATTTTGTGCACCATGTATACATATTGCTGTTGGTTGTAATGAAGTACTAAGTGAATTGCACAGTTACTGAGAAAAGGAAGATGAGAATAGAAACTGCACTAAAATGTATCTTAATGGATTCCAACTTTAGCTTTTGAGCAGAACAAGAGTTGAAATGTCAAAACAAATTAAACCCCCTCCCATTGAAATGTTCCCATATCAGAAACTAGCAAATACATTTCCAGACAGCTTTCAGACATCTGAATGTATGAAATAGTATACCTCCTGACTGTATGGCTTAAAAGGATAGTTTGCTTGATGTGTGAATAAAATAAACTTTCATAATCAGAACTGCAAAAATACCCTTCAACAAATGAAAAACACCATTCTTGGAAACATATACAAAGCAATTTTTGGTTCTTTTTCTCCCCTCAACCACAGTTAAGAAGTAACAGAAATGTGATAGAAAGGATTTGATTAAAAACTGAGGGTGTAGATGGAGAAAAACTGTCAGAATTGAAGACTTATCCTGTATCAATACAAAGAAGTATAAAACTCATGGTTTCTTATGTAATCTGGAAAATGTCCCCACAGAACTTCCATCAGACTCACTCAAGTGGCAGTGCCAACAGGGTAACTATAGTACCAGTGCCCGTTCAGCAGGTAGGGGAAATCTTTTCAAACCTTTCAAGTAGAAATGAACAACAGCAGGAATCCCCATCCTCAGCCATCAACCACAAATATCCAGCTGTTACGAGGTCTGTTTGAAATAACTTTCACCTGACCCCTTCTGTGAATGCTTAGAGTGACATATTTTGGAAATGAGCCATCATTTTGATGACGCAGAAGCATTTTTAAAAAATCCCCAACACCGACTGAGCTTGCTTTACTCCTACGGAAGGTGGCAGTGAAATTCCTGTGGACACTTCTCAATCCATGCTGAGCTTCTCAGGATATGCTACCTTCAACGTGCAGTATATTCAGCTACACCAAGGTGGCAAAGTCAAAGTGTGGCTTTGGCAGATAGCATTTTTTGCTGAGGCAGCTGAAGAGGTTTCAGCTTCCAGCTGTTCATCCTCTTCTTCTGCCAGAGGCTACAAGCCTTGTAACAGCAGCAGTAAAAGTGAACAAGTGCCAGCTCCTGGCACAGCAGCTGCTGGCCTGCCCTTCCTGGCCAGAATTATTTAATAAAGAGTCACAGCCTATCTGTCAGAATCCCTATTTTCATGTGAGGAAAAGGATTATGCCACAGGCTCAGATCTGCCATAGGAGGTACAGTATTTCCAAAGTTTGATGGAACAAAGATAGTTGGAATAGGCCTTAAAGATAGGGAGTGATGATCTTTTAGTAAATTCATTGTTTCTTGTTTACACCTACCATTTCTTTCAGCTTTCTCAAGAATGTTATTATTTATTAAAATTCAGGGTGGAATTTAGGAGAGCATTTTTTAGTGTTTGGATTGTTTGAATGACGGAAAAAGGTCAATGCTTTGTTTCTTCTACTCAAATTGAAAGATGAAATTCTGAAGAGACATTTCACTTCCTGCGTTTGGAAACCAAGTGCCCCAGTGTTAGGTCTACGGGAGCTCAACATACTCTGCTTGTCAGACAAAAGGCTGAAAGTTGTCTTGATCACTGCGATTGGTACTTACACCCCAGAAAGATATCTTATAGCAAGATGTCAGCCTTCTTGACAGTGGTATAATGAGATCTAGCGTTGAGAAAAGGAAGTTACAGAAATTCAGATCTGAAATAAGGTACAAATTCCTACTTGTAAAAAGAAGGTAATTAATCATTTTATCAACAACAAAGTCATCATTTCTTTTAGATTTTAAAATAAAATTAGATTTTTTTTCAGAAAAGATACATTCCAACATCACATGTATTAGAAATCCTTTGGACAGTGTAGTTAAGTTGGCTAGTTATGGCAATCCTATCTGCCCTGGAGACCATGATTTCTGAAGTCTCACATTTTGAATTTCCCTCATTATAGTCATGTACTTGCTACACTGCACAACAAACATTGCTATAATTCAAATACGATGTTGCATATGCTTAGCTGCAATGAACATGAATAAATTTCTTTCCTTCACTGCATATTGGCTAGATGCAGTCCAGGGTTGTTTCAATTTATTTTGCCTTCTGTAACACCTGAGCCTGTGATTTGAGAAAAGAATCTTACTAAAGCATACTAATTTTTCAAGGATTTCCTTGTTTTGGAGGTTTGGTCAGCTGTCCTTGCTCCCAAACTTACAATCACCAAAGCTGCCTTCACAGAAAAATTTACCTAATGCCATTTTTACACGAATCTTGGAAGTTTTCATCATTCTGTGTGTTGTTCTGAGATCAGCTTCCTACTTGATCAGTGTCTTGCTACTACAAGCACAAGTGCAATCTTGGTCAATCTTGGATCTCTGCCTTTCATTTCTTTGCTTGTGGCCCTCTGAAGTTATTCAGTTCTACTATGGTCTTTGGACTTCGTAAGCATGTACCAATGAAAGTGAAAGACAAAATCTGTACCTACAGTTAAACTTCCTGACCTTTTGGCTTGACCTTAAACAAGAAATGACCTTCTACAACATTTCAGATCAATTTGTTAGGTTAAATTCTCAGAAAAATATATTGATGCATAATGTCTGTAAAATCTGGGTGATTTTTTAATATATAATAATACCCAGCAGCTTTTTGGTTTATTACTTAATTTCTTCAATATTCAAACATGGAGTTAAGTCACTGCAATATTTAGCCTTTGTTTCTTAGAAGTATGTGCAAAACTTTTTAATAGGTTGCATAGTTCAATAAGATTTGATGGAATATGTATTTTCTGTAGTGTTTATATTTGCAGGATGCAGGCTGTAATGTATTAGCTAACACTAACACTGTTGTCATGTTAGTACTTATACTACATGTACAGCAATATAAATTATTATCTGCCCTCAGACTAGTGCAGTGTGGTGCATGGCTCCTTGGTGGTCCTTAAGACATCAAACATGAGCATGCAAGCCAACTGTAAACTTGAATGACAAAGCATATACACATACGCTTTCTACAGCAGGTGTTCAGGAGACACCTCCTGTAAATTCTCAATGTTTACTAAAATGTTTATAAAATAGGGAAATTATGATTTATGTAAACCAAAGCTGAAAAAAAAAAAAAAAGTTCACTTCAATGCTGAATTGTTTATTCATCATCTCTTCCAAAGAAGTGTGGAATACAGATGACCCATACACCCCACCCCAGTGGGGAAGAAAAAAAAGGTACACAAGCCTTCAATGACAGAAGAGAAGTTCAGAGACACTGATGCAGTGTATGGTATCCATGCTTCCCTCTCTCTTCCCCAAAAATATGAGTAGTCCCCACTGAAACAATAAACTCTGAAAAAAATGCCAACAGCATGATCATCTGGAAAGTCCTACAATTTACTTGCCCAAGGTGTATCAGAAGCTTCCAAAACAGGTCCCTAAACATCAGAAATGAATACTCTTTCCAATATTAAATTATTTCACCTTCTTTTAACTCATGAGAGGTCTATGTGGTTGGTATTCAGCTCTATATAGTCTTATTCAACAGCAGTTCAAGCAGCTTATCCAGATAGACAGCGAGTCAACAGATCAGCAGATATGACCCAAAGATGTCTTCAACCACATTTTATTCTTCCAGGTTACACTCTGTGCCTCCAAAATTGTCTTATTTTACTCATCATCCCAGGTCTACAAGAACCTTGTATTTGCTAAACTTCCCCACCATTCACTGTGCTTGATTTTAAGCAAACAAATTGCACAAGCATCACTTAACCTGTGGATGATTCACCCAAACACAACAGATGAAACACAAAGGAAGGCAGTTAAATGAACTGTCTTTTTTGAACCTATGTATGTTGTATATATATCATGTGACATTTCATCTAAAGCTTTCCCAATGTGTCTCCAAGATCCTTCAGTATCATTAAGGGCAGACTTCAAAATCTTTCATTTTAATCTATTAAAAGTGAATGCTAATACAATATTCTGATGTGTGATAATAACTATTCTTGACAACATTTCTTTTCATATTAAAGTGTAACTGCATGAGAAGTTTGGGTGAGAGCAAACTAAGAATATGACTGCATTGTAATATGAAAAAATATATATCTTGGAGCCGTTTATATTCAGAATTGCGTCATATTCTTTATCTTAATTATTATTATAAATAAAACATTCAGGCAACACTGTGGCATTGCCAGTTAGAATCTCCTGTAGAATAAGCCTTTTTAAGACAAGTTACAACATTCAGCAAGCAAAAACATGCACAAAATATTCAAGCACTGTTATAAAATGCAATTTACTCATATAAGTTAGGAACATACATAAGCATGCTTGACTGCTACTGATGCAAGAATTATGACAGAGTTCAACAAATGTCCAGAGTGCTAAGGCTGTTTTATTAGGCATGGTTTTATCAAAGGATCCAAAGGTGGCTTTACTTTCCCATTAGTGTGGCATAGCATTAGTTGTAGGATGTAGCAATGGCCATGAAGCCTGCTTTCACTTTTCCACTTTTGTGGCAGACAAATCTGTCAGCATTTCTGTATTTTTCATTCTTTGTTTATATGTGATTATGTCACAAAGACACTACAACAAGGCTGCACAAAAATAAATAGAGAACAAAATTACTCATGTTGATACCAACTTAAAGAATCTTCGTCATAGCCTACATATACAGAGGAATTTGGAAGACAAAAAAGGAAGACAGGGCAGAAAAAAAATGGAAGG